AAGAATACTTAACATTCTCCTTTGTCGAACAGGGTGAAAGGAGATGTCTCCGTTACTTGAAATGGCAAAGATAATATCAAATGCGCATATAGATTCTCACCAGAAATTGAATAGTTACACATACATGTACTACAAATGTGTTCACCGCAATGTTAAACAATTTTTCAAAACCTACATCATTGAAACGATAAAAAGAAATAAAGTTTTCTCTGTTGGCCTCGTTTTTTCTCAAGTATTAGTTCAATTCAATTTCTAATAATAAAAGATTTTCATTTTAAATTATTTTTAAATTAATTAATATCTAACATTAATCCACTCGAGTATCTTTTGTAAATCCGAACAATCATAACTATCATAATTTCTGTTCATTTTTTGTAATCTCAGCTATCTTGATTATGGGTTATAGTTTTTAGAGTTTTAAACTTTAATACTATTTCTATCGAAGGTATTGACAAACACCTTTTAAAATTTTAATTTAAAATTCTTTTCTCAATTTCATGATTTTTTCTAAATTGAATTTTGGACATTTCGTATAGTTAATTTTATAATCGTTATTGGAAAAGTTGGAAAGTCAATTCAGAATATACGACTAAGCTTGAAAAATAATTGTAAGTTAAAATTTCAAAAGGTGTCTTTTGACATTTTTACACTTTTTTCCAATTTTTCATACTTTTCGTTACTTCTAACTACATAGTAAAGTAAGCTACTGCTCTTACTGCATTACAAACTATTACTGCATCACAAAAATTAAAAAGTTAATCATAGTAATCATTAAGAATTAACTTATCCTTACATAACATTACGAGGCAACTTTCCACATATCGAAACAATATTGAAAAACAACGTTTATATCACTAAATCTCGCAGTTAAATTGACTTTTCGAAATTTCTCTATAGAAACTTCAAAAGTCCATCTATCGAGTCTTAAATTGATTTATAATTCAGTTTGCGTATTGCTAAATAATTTCTTTAATAATTCGTCAAAGAAACATCTGTTATCTTTTCAATAGTTGCAAAATGAATAAATCAGGAATGGATAAGTTTGACCTGGCTGGTACTTTGTGTACCAGATACACACACATAATACAATACAACATAATGAATCATTAAAGCTTTCTATTGAAGCTACAAACAACAGATCTATATCCTCTTTCCCCAATAATAAGAAAATCAATTTCCTTCGAAGTTAACAGTTTCCACTGGTTTTAAAGTATGAACAAGCACCGTCGCCATTTCCACCGTAAATAGAGATATACGTGCAACCGTACGAAACGGCAAGGGAATAAAGTTCCGCCGCGAAGGGTTTATTTTGCGTATAAAATTAACCGGCCCCCGACGTTTACTATCTTCCGTGAATGGTGCGGCAAATGCGTGCATACACGTTGCGCGCGTACTATTATTAAACGTTATCCGATGCAATCAGCGGCATTACAACCTGCATTGCCATTGCCAGCCGCTCTAAGGGCGCGAGTAAACGTACACGTCTGACACTTGATCTGATTATGCATTATTGGTAACGCGCATTCGATTCCTTGCCGGTCGAACGACCACTACGGCCACGTGTGTGGGACGTGTAAATATACCCGGAGATTTTTCTAGCTAGTGCTGCCATTTTCACGGTGATTATGTTCTCTCGTGCTTTACACTTTAGTAGTATAATATGTATGTAAGTGCTAGCACGATGCAACGTTCAATGGGCTCTTTGAGATCTTAATCCCTTGCTTTTTGGTCTTGCGTCGGGATAGATGAACGGGACGTTGAATTTCAATTTAACAGTGGCATATTTTACTGATTTTTCTCGTGATTCTTCGCTGAGAAATGCTTATGAACTTATCGTAGTTTCATTTGTGACGTTTTAATGTATGTTTGTAGAATGACTTATTGAAGTATGGTCGAGAATAATGTTGCAAGCTTTAAGGAGGGAAATGAACAGTTTGAATCGAGTGGGATTCAATCCTTGACAACTGATGGTTTTGAGAGCGTGGGTTGTAATAATAAATGTAAACGTTGAATCTTTATTTAATTTCAGGGATTTTTTTTCTTTAACTCCTTGCTTTATAATAACGTGTGAGACTCGTGGTAAAAAGTTTAAATAGAATTTAACAAAAGTAAATATTACTCAGTGTTTGTGAATTCAAATTAAATATTATTCTTCTGTTATCAGTTATTATATTTTGGAACAATTGTGAACATAGGATATGTCTAAGATTTTTCTCTTTTTTCCAATAGATTATTAATGACAAAGTAGTTGGATTGATTGTAGTCGAGAAATAAATCGTAAGGCCAGGAGTTAATGTATAATACTTAGCTTGAAAAATGTTTTGAATTCGTTGATGTAAATATGAAGTAATGCAGAGGTGTGCCAATGGCTGTCAGCATTTGAATTCTAAATTTGATCGTCTACTGTGTAGGTATCTTTCAAAAATTAAAACAAAATTTATTACTCTTATTTATTGCTTACGGAGGAATCTTACTCTAAGATCGTTAGAAATTATTTACATGTACACAAACAAATATGAGTTACTAATTTAACTTATGTAGTTACAAATATTATTATAATGCTTTTATTTAGAAAAATAACTAAAAAGCTATTCAATAACAACGAATGTCTCATTAATCACATAAAAATCCCGCATGTAAATTCTAGAATAATTCAATCCACGTGACGGCTGTATATTTAAACTTATTAGTTTTCATAAGAATAATTTTGTTATATTATTTTATTAAACCAAAAATGACAGAGAATCTTCGCGAAACATTATTGATACTATTTCCATACTTCATAAAGAACATATTGTAAATGCATACATAGCGAGTCTCAATTCCCTTTAAAAATTCTTGTTCACTGGAAGCTTTACCTTTTTAATTTTAACTCCGCTAACGAAATCTGGCGTGGACGGTAAAAAAGGATTTCCGTGACGTTGTTTACATGCTGCAGGTTTCTCGTCGGTCAATTTGGCGAATTCACGGGGGAAACGACTAGGGGAAGAATATGTGGACAAAAAACGGTCGGAATGAAAGGGGTTGACAGACGGAGCTTTTCGTCGGGATCCTATCGTTCAGTCAAACAAACGTCGTGCTTCCTGCCGTCGCGGGAATTCTATTCTTTCTCCAGAAAGTTCGCGCACGTTGTTCATCGCGAAGAGCAGCATCGACGTGAAAATATAACATCCGATCAGTGGAAACGCTTGTAAACATCGAGAGTGAAACTCTTAGAATTGCCGTTGTTCCTTTTACGTGAGCGGATGTTCTCTGCCAGTCATTTTTGTATCGACCCTTTATGGGACAGAACTCTTCAGACGTGAATAGAATTTGTTTTGTGGGAAAATTGAGCATACTTATAATATTACATTTAATGAAATCCGGCAATTTAGTTTTAGACTTCTTAAATATTACTTTCTAGGAATTTAATTTAATCCTGATCATTATAAATGAAGAATATTAGTGAATTTTTTAAATTAATATATATTAATTAAAAATTGAAGTAAAATTTTTTAGGTTAATGTATATTAATTAAAAATAGAAATTTAATTTTTTTGATATAAACACGGAACATTTTCGATAGGAAATAAAATTTTCTAATATTAACAGTTACGATATTTTTATATTTATTTCCTTTGCGACTTCGAAATTTAACTGAAATCTCAGTTTGATCTCAAGAAATTTCATTTTGAACATATTTTGTCACATGCAACGCATGTTTAGTATGTAATTTACACCAAAAGTTCTGTTACCCATTTTATACAAATCATCATCCCGTGTATCTCTGTCTCTTTATTATTCATGAGACCCAGATCCCGGTTATTAAATTACTCTGTCATTCCCGTACTCGTTTTTGCTAACTCATATCGAGCTCGCAAGGGAATTACACGATGTGTTACGCACCATTTTGGTACAACTTTGTAAAACAGTAGCGAATAGGTAGATTGAGAACAGTGTGGCTGCACCGGTATTTTACATGCAGCCAGTGTTTCAGATATTCATTTGAAAATGTCCCTGTTTATAGTTCGTTTCGTCGCAAAATCCGTAGTATGTTTGTTTCGCTTTTTCTCTCCTGCGTATACGAAATTAATTTTGTATGGGTATTTCAGTTCAAGCAATGAACTACAAATGAATCTCTTTGATAATAAAACTCTAACGAATAGTAGTAAATATATTATAATATCTATTTTTATAAATAAACGCGGATCAAGATAAGAACGTATTACAAATCTAACGATTTAATTAATAATTCTCATTTATCCATTTTACATAAATAGATTAACTTTTCAATTTAGTAAATACTTAATGTTATAATTATTCAATGAAGATCATTGTTCAGTATTTTTTTTTCATTTGAGTTTATTTTAAGGTGGTCATTTTAACAGTAAAGTCATTAGTGACCATCAATATTTGGGTACATTAATTATTACTTAATAATACTTATTACACAATGACTTATTGTATAATCATATACCAGTTGCATGAATAATAATACAAGATTAACGGTCGATAAATCGAAAATAATATGTACATGCAGGTTATAATAATACCTTTCTTAAAATCTCAATTTATTTGTAGTTTAATTACTCCATTACTAAATCTTTATTTAACACTTTGTTTGTGTAATTAAATATGAAAGTGAGACAATCTAAATAAACTCTAATATACTTTATGTATACATAATGAATTGAAATGAAACTTTGGACATATTTTTTTAGATAACTTTGAATATTTTGCTTTTGCAATATTCTATATTGCCCTGCGTTTCAAACATTTAAATAGCTGATACAAGTGCAAATGCGAGTTAACTCGTGACTGATTAACAATGTGTTAGTAATTTATTAGTTTATTTAATAATATTTCAAAACAGTATCCACAGTTTTTTAATGATTATAAAAAAAAGTAACATGAAATAGGTGTTTTTGAAACTATAAGAATATTAATACTAAAAACTCTTTGGAAAATATGGGTTACCACGTGGACAAACCAGCCCATCTCTTATTCTTTTCTTCTCTTACCGTGCATTGCAGATTTGGCCGAGGTAATGCCCGATGATGCAATTCCAAGAGCAATTTCCTTTTGTCTCAGTGGAGCGTTCTGTATATTTCAAAGATTAAAGCTCGCCAAACGATACGTGACTGGGAACATTGATGTAGAGGCCTGCATCTGTAATTAACGAAAACCGTATTGCCAGTTGTATGCGATAGTTCAATGTTTGTTTCACTTCAGAGATCAAAGCTCAGTAATTAACGTCTATGATAGTGTATGTGGAGAAGTTTCTCTTCGAGGATCAAATTAACAAAAAAGCTGACAAACAACTGCGAGTAGCTTCTTGTTAATCTCAGTTACTTACATTTGCAGAATATTATAATTAAATTAGAATATCAGATCATGTTTACGCTTACAATCGAGCTTATACTACAATTTAATGGACAAACTCAATATCACAACAAGGTTAACTCACGAAACGTATTTTTTAAAAGTTAAGGAGAGATTTTGCTCTAGAGAGCTAGTTATATTTTCTCCATTTTTTCACCATTTTATCTCGCTTGAGAAGTAGTAAATATAGTAAATGTCGAAATATTAAAAGTTAAGTATTTGCAGAAAAGTATATTTCTTAATTTAAGAAGAAATCATTCAAATCATTTGATTAGTTTTTGAGATATTTATATCCAGAATTTCAGGAACAGTGTTTCGAGGAAAACATGTTCAAAGTTTTACGTGATGATAAAGTCCAACTAATAACGACAGTCACTAAAATGCTTACAACTGTGCTATCTTTCAAAATCTTGAAATTTCCTTATAAGTACGTATTCCACACACATCAATGAAGTGGAAAATTGAAAAGAAATGAATTTTGTTAAATTTCTAGACCTGGACTTTTAAGGTAGTCACTAAAATGCCCACAACTTCGCTAACTTTCAAAATCCTGAAATGTTTTTATAAGTACGCATTCTCCACACATCAGTGAAGTGGAAAATTGAAAAGAAATGAATTTTCTTCAACTTCTAGACCTGGACATATAAGTCCAACTAACAGCGACAGTCTTTAAAATATCTACAACTTCATTATCTTTCAAAATCTTGAAATGTCCTTATAAATACGCATTCTCCACACATAAGTGAAGTGGAAAATTGAAAAGAAACGAATTTTCTTCAACTTCTAGACCGGAATTCCTCCAAGAAAAAGGTAGACTTTTCTTACGGAAACTGTACGAAGCCGCAGCATTAACGGTATTTCACAGCAACGCGTGCCTGGAGTTATCGCGAGCCGAGTAGAATGCAATTTACTATACCGGTTCGATGCAGTGAAACGCGACACGCCGGTAATCGCATCTTTACTATCCTCTTACGGATAAGGTTATATCGCGATTAGAGTCCGCCTTATTGCCGGGCCCAACCGCGCCTAAGATGTTCGCGCGATCCGGGTAGCTCGATAAATTTCGCGGTGCGCGCACACACGCACATACACACAAATACACCCCTGTCCTGTATGGAAATACGAAGCGATTCACCATTCGCAAATGTGTGCGAAGCCGGTTGCAATGATTGTTACACATGCAACAATGGTAAACCAGTTCTCTAATGGAGATTCCAACTGACCCCCCGAGCCCGTTGAAAAGAGAGGCGGATCAATAATGTAGCAGTATTGATTTTGATACGCGGGTTCGGTATCTGCGATATAAATTGTTTGGTACATCGACAGGTAAATACAGTAGGGCCCCGTATAACGCGCTATTTCTATAACGGGAATCAACCACTTAACTGCGTTTGACGAGTAGACACGTCATCTTAACACTTAAGCAACCACCAAGAAGCACTATAACTATAACCTTTTTCATTAGCTTTAACCGAACGCATTCAACACATTTAATTAAAAATTATATTTCACGAAAGCAAGAAAGGTATTTATTGAATTGCAAATAACTTTAGTTCAAGACTCACTAAATAATAAAAGAAAACAAATAAACAAAATAACGACAAATAAGGACGATTTTCAAGTATGGTAATATAAAGAAAAATTATACATAAATTAACCCCTTGCCTTAAAATAACATGTCACACTGGTGATGACAGTTTTTAATTGCATTCGACAAATTGAAATGTCATTTATTTAGTTTTGACATAAATAAAATGTTACCTGTCTATTATCAATCTTTAATATTTATAATGAACGTTGACACAGAAGGAGTATAAAATTCTTTTCTGCTTTTACTAAATTATTAACGATGAAGTTGTTTTGTTAAGTATAGTTGAAAAATAGATCATAGAACAAGGGGTTACAGAACATTTCAATTTCAACATTTCATGTGGTAATACATTACATAATATGTAATATTGGATATTTAATTTTATTCTATTATTGCATCGAATTAAATGGTGATTGAGGCTTGCCTATCGAGTACAACGGATTAAAAGTTGCGCTGTTGCTCATTTGTAATTCGATTAGAAGATTGCTGGAAAATAATGATGAAAGTGAGATTCTTCTTAAGGAAACGATACAAGCTGACCTATTAAGAAATTACTAATATATACATTCTGATGTTGTAGAAAATTCGATGAATAAAGGATTTGGAACAGCATCCAAAATGTGATGTGGGTGGAACTTATATAATTTTAAGGGACTCTGACAGTGATTAGATTTTAGTTTTTCTCGTCTTTCGGTATTAGTTATAGTTATTCGTGACGTGAAATTCTTATAACGCTCCATTTTTCTGGAATGGAATTAAGAAAAAATGATATAATGTGAATTATAGTAATGACTGATGAATTCTTAGTATTTTTAAGTCGAGCAAGATTTTCATAAAGTTACCATAACACTACAGTAAAGTTTCGATTATTCGGTGTTCTCACGACCGAGACAGTGCCGGACTATTAAATATGTCGGATAATTTGGCTATTCAGATGGAATGATAAATATGAAGAAAGTAATATTAAAAATCACTATTGATAATATAAGAATGCAACTTTTTAATAAAAATGCAATATATTAATATAGTATATTTATAATATGTCTATCCATTGTGTAAACATTATTCATGATGTATTTGATGCAGCAATTTGAGTACTGTATGACAGCTTTATAAATGGTGGTTTATAATTCTATAACATTTTTCTGAAAAATTCTTCGTGGAAAAATATATACAAAAATATATCTTGGGTTGTGTGAATTGTGATTCGCGACAATTGTCGAAAAACAATCAGAGAAAATATAGTGATGAAATCTGCATTTTGCATAATTGGAGCTTCATTGTCATTTTTTGTGCGTATCACCTGGAATAGACGTATAGGAAAAAATTTGAGATAAAATAAAGTGTTATTAATGATATTATAATAGCAATAAAATCTAATTTGAAATACAGTAATATCCTCTCTCAATAAATTTTGTATGTTGTGTATTTGTTTTCCATATTTTTATTTTATAATTTTTTCGTTTTTCAAAATCACAGGTGAGCGCACGAGAGAAATAAAAAAATAAAATAAAATTTATGTCGACGTGTTCTCATTTTATACAAAAATATACGCGTGTAGTACTAAAAATAAGTGGTATTCGTACTCATTTCTCCAAAAACATTGGAAACACGAAAGAATGTATGCTATTATATTCGTTGAAAAAACACTAAAATTTGTTTCATTCCCATTTTCCCTGTATATTTGTCAGCTACGAAAGAACGCAATAAAACTCATAAACAGACACATTACAACGAAACGTATTTACATTTAACATAATTTATGTACTAATTAAATACAATACAATTTATAAACCAAAAACGTTACAAATAATACATAAAACACATATATTATAAAATAATGTTACAAATATTCAAACTTCGTTTGTTTCATGAGTCGGTAACAGTTTTGTTTCGTTTGATTTCATTCTTACGTCCCTGAATTGGTTAAAATGAAACTGATCTGTTTCTAAATATTTATTTCTCTCGATACAATTTATTAAATAATCATCCAGTTATAGCAATAAGGTTAAGGTTATTTAAGGAAATACTTCGTTTCATCAGATAACATTCTGTTTGTTGTACAATAAATACGAAACCTTAGTATGCACAATTTTTCATGTAATACTATCTTTTATTTGTTTCACTGTAATTTCACTCACCGCAGAAAGAAATTCGGGCACCCGGCATTTACCAACTGTGAAACGGAACTCGTTTCACCGCAAAGCGGATGTCTCCCTCAATAATTTTGAAACAGGCGGAATCTGTTCTAAAAAGCGCAACCACTTTCATTCCGATTCGTGTCAAGATATACTTTACACGTTGCGGAATGACGTTGCACAGACGAGATGCGCACACACCGAAGATGACCGCGCCAAGAGTGCCAACACCCATTTTAATAATTTCTAAAGGAGAAACTTTCGAGCTGGCGGTTCTCTGTTAATGTGTCAACAAATTATGAAGCACTCGTGTAATTATTCAATAATAACATGAGATCTGTAAAATTAGCTATCCCCACGCGTATAAATTAAATCATTTTTGCGTATAATTTTGCTTCGATGAGTTCTTGTTTAATACCTCGTTAAGCTCGCGGATTTTTAAGCGTTTTTGTGAAACACGAATGCGGGAAACATTATAAAGTATAATTACATTCAATACTCTAGTTCAATCTAGCTACTTACTGAAATCTTTGATTGAAGAAGTGAATTCTTATTTATTAAACCTTTGACTCTGGATTTGTATGCAAATTGAAAATTTTAAGAATATAGTTAAAAAAATAGAATTAATTAATTTCTCTCAAAAAATATTATAGAAAGTAGTATGCTTTGGATATTCTGTCGCATTTTGTGCAATTCTTCATTCTCAAATTTCTCATAAATGCATGAAAATTCGCAGTCTGTTAATAAATTTTTTAGTGACAGAGTTCGTCAAAATGATTTTAATTTAATTGGTTCGTCAAGTGAACATTTTTTTGAGGGAAATAAATATTGACAACAGCGGAGTAGTTTTTCACTTCGGATTATATGCAATGAACGAAATTGATTTTTACGGAATTAAGGATTGATCTACATTATGCTGATTTACTATTCTTCTTTGCATCTATATTACTCTATTTAATATCCTAAACTGATCATTATTACTATCATAATTATTAATTGCATTTATATCAATATATTTATATCTTTTTCAAGAGAGGCAATACACGTTATTCTTTTCAAAATGCTGCAACAGTGATGGAAAACTGGTATGCAACTAAATATTATATTCTGCATTATTTTAAAAAGAACTTACAAAAGAATATAATTTTATTGTGTAAAGTTGTCCTAATTTAAAAATCTTATACATTTACAAAAATGATAAAAAGAATAAAAAAGAACTGTAAGTCCACAAAGACTCTTAGTCTGACAATGCTGTAAACATTCTTGACCCAAATTACGCAAGATTAATTAGGGTAATTGCAAGCAATCTCATGCATTGATTCATCAATTCTAAAATATCCTCTGTGTAACAATACACTCGAAGGGTTTGTTGCAAGAAGGAGGCAACTCTATTTTTGACGCATTTTTTGTTAAATATTAGGGTGTCCCATAAGTTCGCATCACGATGTGCTTATACATTTCGGGTTACGTTTTGTGATCATATAACGATACGAGGACTTGGGTGACGAAACTTTTATTCTTCAGTTTTTACACATAGTCAGTAGAAGGTATTCGACAGCGACAGGTCGTGAAGTTATACGAATTTTACATTTCATAAAATATTATTGTATATGATCGATAAATAAACCGCATAAACTTAGGGTACAACCTAATATGTAATTTCGCTTTTAAAAATGTGAACTTTCATGTAGTATAAAAAGAAATTAGCTTCAGGTACCTTCTTTTTATTACTATTCAATTACATACCTTATTACCTTTGTATGATATCCTTGTATGTTTTATATTTATTATGATTATTTGTTAATATCAGTTACTGTTTTTTATTATTTAACAATGATTCACGTCATAAATTATGTTTCATTAAGACCTTAACATTTTTAACACTACAATAAACTTAATTTTAACATTATAGTAATATACAATATACAAAATATAATGTCATAAAAGTTGAATCTGTTGGCAATAAATTGACAGCACATTTGAAGCAGTGCCTAATTTTTAATTGATTTCTGTTGATTTCCTAAAATAACAAGAAGGTGGAGCTGTCTCAATCTCCCACCAAACTTTACATTTTTCCTTTTTTCTTAAAAAGACACCATCAATTTTTCAATTCGACCAGACAAAAATCAGGGTTGCAGACGGTCCTCTACGCTCATCGAAGATCATCGAACCGAGACTCTCGTCTCGATGGAATCGATCAAGCTCAACTCTCCCACTCCTTCTTCTTCCCACCCGTTCCTTCTTTCTTTCTTTTATCCCCGACGCAATATTCCGTGTCGTATAACAACTAGTTGTTAGCGATGACATAGCTTCTTTTTATAGACGAACGTATAACGTAGTGCACGCGTCCGCGCGCCAGCCTTTTTCCGCGTGTTAATGCTTCAGGACCGGTGTTTCGAGCTCGGTTACAACCTTGCCACTTACGCGGCCGCGAACGATGCATTAAGTCCCTACACAGTAAATTCCACGAATAGCTAATAAGGCGAACATATTTTTATTCCTGGCGATGGCTGGATGATTGCGGAAATAGATTAGATTGCCTTCTGACTTTAGTTGTTCCTTCTGCTCAGCAAATTATTTCCACTGTTTAGTTCTGTGTTTGTCAGGGGCGCTTCGTTAACGTAGAATCAAGTGAAAATGAATCTTGTTAATTGCTCGACGATTTTCAAAGTTTGCACACTTAAAAATGAAGAAGTTCTGTTTAAAATAAAGTTGGTTATCAAGCGAAGAAGTAATTCGAACAGTTCACTCATGCACTAATATTTTGAAATTGCTAAAGGAAATCAAAATGACACTTAATTTAATTAGGCAACCACAATTAAGGAATGCACAATGTAATCGTATACATACAAGATAATTATCTGCATAATTTAAAGTAGTTGCCGATGACCTAATGGGTTTGGCGCAACTTAAAATATGTAATAAAAAGAAAATAATAATTAAGTATAAATAAGTTTTACTATTTTTGGGTGTGAACGTATCGCTCTTTTGCCGGGACAGAGTGGTAACTCAAAAATTATGATTTTAACATCAATAAAATAATGTAATGTCAGTAATGTAAAATTAACACAATAATGTGAAATCACGATTTTCGATGTAAATATGTTGTAGAGAAATCTCTTGAACGATGGCGAAAGTTTTATTTACTCATCTGTATAATTTGACTAGCTGAGAGTAATTATGTTATTGTCCTTGATTTGTGCGACAGCATGCTACATTCATAAAAACGTCTTACTCATAGACACACCTTGATTGCCCTTTTCAGTAACGTGAAAAATAACTAGTAAAAGTGAATACTATTTTTCACGTTCATAAATTGTATTTATGTAATAATATATGTTTATGTTTGAAATCAGTTTTTCGCTTTTCCTGAAAAATGCAAAATTTGGAGTTATGATTCTGTTCCAACAAGAGAGCTATGGTCACTGTTTTAAAATAAATTACAGTTAGATTTAAAAGGAAGTTCTGAACAAATTTGCTTGGTAGTAGTGTTTTAATGAAAGTGGGTTTATAATTTTTTAAAGAATCAATGTAAAGTCATTTATGTTTCTGCGTGGATTAAATTCTGTTATATATTCTTCGCGACAAAATGTAGGGGTGAAGTAATCAAGAAGTGAAGATTTATTACACTTTTATTTGGTGATTTGTTGCTAAAAATTTATTGTATTTGGTTGCGTTGAGGATAATGTCATTTTTGTAAAAAGTTTGTTCAATTTTTCGAAAATTTTTAATTTAAAGTTAGTTGTGCTGTTTCACGTAAATAAGTACAGTAGCAAATCTGAGAATATTTTTTACTAGTTTAATCAGATTTTTGTCTTTCGAGAACGAAACTCGAAATACAATTAATATTGTAATACGTAGTAACAATGTATAAAATCTGTTGGCAAATGCATCGCTACAGGATGGATAGGTTCAAAAGAAATTACAATCGCAGAGACCGATCGATAGTAAAATGAAGAAAGAGTAACTCCTCGGTGAAATTGAATATTAACATGCCGTCGCCGCTCGACACTGAAATTAATCGTATGGAAAACCGAAGCGAAAGTAACAAAGTGAATAAATTAACAATTGCGGAAACAAAGGTAATTTTTAATACCCGCTGACTTTGTGTTACGTCGCGCTTTAACTAGCACCGATCGGTATTCATAATTATGTAAAACGTTTAAAAAGAAAACGAAGCAGTTTCTTTGTGATTCAAAAACACGGTGCTTCAATGATATTTTGCAAATTAATAAATGCATAATTGTTCCCTTCGACGATGAATTTGTGTTTCAAATGAATTCTATCGAAACTTCAAGAGAATTAAAATGGTTATTATATTTTAGCAATTATTATTGAAATACAAAACTGTATTTATTTAAAACATACACACACACATATATATATAACAATTTTAACACAGTCAACCGAATGGGAAGATGTCCCACTTTTGCCTTTGTTTCACTTTTTTTTGTTATTTAGTAAACTTTAACCTGTAAACATTCGCAGTTAATTAAGTAACTTTCTTACTTTTATGAAACACAATTTTTAATGAAATCTGTTAAATGAGTTCAATTAAAGTTCATGAAAAAGGTTGTAGTTGCAGCTTTTTTCAGGCGGTTGCCTAAGTCTGAATACTTCGAAACATTCATTTATTTAAAATGTGATAAAATCATCAAAGTTCTTATTTTCCTGAATAATCTTTTTTGAAATTGTCAATGTTTTATTTTGTAAATGTATGAAAAATGGAACGTGTATCTATTTTTAATCAACTCGTAAAATCTTATAGTCTAGGAAGTTTTCTGTATTAATTCTTTAATTTACATCTAATAATGTACATGCAGTATATTGTTTATACAAACGGAGTTTTCTCATAATTTATTTACACAGTTTGATTTTTTATTAAAACGTACATGTTTTTGACATTTATAACGTTCTTCTATCCCCAGTAGTTTTGAAGATACATATTCAATCGAATATATTTCTCACCCTTAACTTTAAGAGCTATTTTCACTTTTTCAATATAAATAATAGCCAATATAAACATGCGTATGAAATATTTTCGTAGGATCTACTTTCTATCAAAGTGTCAGAAAATAAAACGATGCCACTTCTGCATGTTCCCTTACAAGGATGCTGGACCATTTTCTCCATGTTTCTGCTGAGT